TAATTTTATTTTACTTTTTTTTCTTTTCTTTTCTTTTTTTTTTTTGAGATGGTGTCTCACTCTGTTGCCCAGGCTAGAGTGCAGTGGCACAGTCTCAACTCACTGCAACCTCTGCCTCCCTGGTTCAAGCGATTCTCCTGCCTCAGGCTCCTGAGTAGCTGGGATTACAGGTGTGTGCCCCCACACCCAGTTAATTTTTGTATTTTAGTAGAGACGGGTTTTCACCATGTTGGTCAGGCTGGTCTTGAACTCCTGACCTTAGGTGATCCACCTGCCTCGGCCTCTCAAGGTGCTGGGATTACAGGCGTGAGCCACTGCACCTGGCTTATTTTTTATATATTTTTAAAGACAGGGTCTCATTCTGTCATCCAGGCTGGAATGCTATGACATAATCATAGTTCACTGTAGCCTCAAACTCCCAGACTCAAGTGATCCTCCTGCCTTAGCCTTCTGAATAGCTGAGACTACAAGTGCATGCCACCGCATCCAGCTAATTATTATTATTATTATTAATTTTTTTTTTGTAGAGACAGGCTCCCACTGTGTTTCCCAAGATGGTCTCAACCTCTTGGGCTCAAGCAGTCCTCCCACCTCGGCCCCCTAAAGTGGTGTGATTACAGGTGTGAGCTACTATGCCCGGCCAGGGCTTAAGCTTTCATGCAAACAAGACCCTCCATGAAAGAAATTCTCGTCTTTGCCTGGAATGCTCCATAACACATTACAAAGGGCTTTATGGTATACATATATATATGTGTGTGTGTATATATATGTGTGTATATATATATGTGTGTGTATACATATGTGTGTGTATATATATACCTTTGTTGATTAAAAGTTGTTGCAAACTCCAATGTGATTTTTTTTTTATTGGGTCCTAGGTTTAACAATGTTTTATCATAATGAACTTAGTGATTGATGATTTCATAGTACATAAGAATGTATTTCCCTGATAAAACTTGCTATTCTTGAGTGGAAAGAATGAAGTTCCCAGTTGCACAGGAATATGGACACACACACACACACACATGCACGCATGCACACATATTTTATATATATTATCACGTGTGTATGTGTGTGTGTGTGTGTGTGTATTTTCTGGTTTAGACCATCTCAATAGGTTCACATTTCAGTTGCAGAAAATGTATAAAGAAAAGAAAGCATGGTAAAACCTCATGCTCATTTTGGACACTGTCCTTGGCAGAACTGAAAAGAGACCTCATAGAACTCTGAAAGATCTAGAGAGAAAGTTGATGCCCTTTCTCTCTAGATCTTCCTACTACAGAATGTCTAAGATACCAATGGTCATAGTCTTTTCAGGCTGCTATAACAAAAATATCTTAAACTGGGTGGCTTAAACAACAGAAATGTATTTCTCACAGTTCTGGAGACTAGGAAGTCCACAGTCAAGGTCCCAATAGGTTTGGTGTCTGGTGAGGGCCTGCTCCTCGGTTCATAGATGGCACCTTTTCACTGTCTCCTTACATGGTGGAAGGGGTAAGGCCATTCTCTGGGGCCTTTGTAATAAGGGAACTAATCCTATTTATGAGGGCAGAGCCTTCCAAATCATCTCCCAAAGGCCCACTTGTTAATATAATCACATTGGAGATTAGGTTTCAACATATGATTCTGAGGGTGCACCAACATTAAGACCATAGCACCACTGACAAGAAGGAGAATATAATTGAAACCGATTATTCATCTTCCTTGAGGAATCCATCAGAACTCATTCCATCATGGCTTTTACACAAGAAGCCCAAATTCCCAGGTTATTATTCATCTTTTGTGTGCTCTGCTTTACACCCTCTAATGGAGCCAAGATCATGCCACCCCCTGACCTTGAAAACCTGTTCATTATATTCTTTGTAACTTAAAATCTCCAGTCAAGAGAATCCCCTAGATCAAATTCATCTTCTCTGAGTCTTCTCTGTATTTTCTTGCTATAATAGAAAACTGGTTGTCCTCCAAGTGCACTGCTTCCCTTGCAGCATTCTTTCTTTCTTTTTTTTTTTTTTTGAGACAGGGTCTCACTCCATTGTCCAGGCTGTAGTACTGTGGCATGATCTTGGCTCACTTCAACCTCCACTTCCTGGGCTCCATGCACCATCACGCCTGGCTAATTTTTGTATTTTTTTTTGTAGAGACAAGGTTTCGCCTTGTTGCCCAGGTTGGTTTAGAATTCCTGGCCTCCAGCAATCTGCCCCCTTCGGCCTCCTAAAGTGCTAGTATTAAGTGCTAGTATTACATGTGTAAGCCACTGCCCCCAGCATTTGCAACATTCTTTCTTGCATTAAGTACATTTATATCATTGCAGCCATCACCACCATCCATCTCTAGGACCTTTTCTTCTGCATCTCTCTTACCTGCTAGTTGTGTTCTCTCTCACCTGTCACATCCTATTGGACAGGGAGGGAGCAAGTGTCCCTCCCGTTAACAATTTATTGAACAACCCCAGCTTATTGAAGCGTATGCCATCAGATCAAACTGAACAGCAGACCAAACCCCTCAAAGTTATGTCACCTACAGATCCTTAGTCTCAACAACCAGATTTTATCACTTTGGTCACTAATTAAGTTTATAAAGTTAAATTCAAAGTTTAGTAAAAGTTAACTCTTTTTTCATTCTTCTGGATTAAATCTGATGGAAGAAAATATGCCAGGAAAAAAGACAAGGTGTGTTTCACTTCTCTATCCCTTGCCAAATACTTTTTCCCAAATACTAGGTTGCTTCTGGTTCCTGCATGGTTGAAGTGTGGGTATCAGTGGCTGCAAGAGAAGTAGAAAATGTTTACTTGACAGGTGTCAATCTGAAATTGGCTCTTTAAAGCTGACTTTCTTCTTGTGAGGGGTTTCATGGCAAAATGAATGAAAAAGTTGAAAGACAACAAGAAACTGGAAAAAAAAAACAACACGTTACTTCATATTATAGTATTTGGTGGAATTACCATAATATAGTTCACAGTATATTTAAGAAACTTCTTGTTGATCACATAGATATTGTTTTTAGGATTTTCTATTACAAACATAGTAGCAGTGAATGCAATTGTATCTATAACATTTTTCATTCAAATAGACTTTACTTTTTAGAGCACTTTTAGGTTCCTAGCAAAACTGTGCAGAAAGCAGAGACACTTGTCACATACGCTCTTCTCCCTGACATCACAACCTTCCCTGCTATTGACATCCCCACCAGAGTGGTACATTGGTTATAGCTGATGATATGGATATTTGTTATAACTGATACATGGAAATGTTCTTATTATCCAATGTCTATAGTTTACATTAGGGTTCACTCTCTGTGTTGTGCATTCTATGGCTTTTGACAAATGTATAATGGCATGTATCTACCTTTAAAGTATTACACAAAATAGTTTCACTGCTCTCCAAATCCACCATGTTCCACCTATTCATCTGTCCTTCTCCCCAACCCTTGGCAACCACTAATTTTTTTTATTGTCTCCATATTTTTTCTTTTCCAGAATGTCATATATAGTTGGAGACAAAGAGTCTCACTCTATCACCCAGGCTGGAGTGCAGCGGCACAATCTCAGCTCACTGCAACCTCTGCCTGCCAGGTTCAAGTGATTCTCTTGCCTCAGCCTCCTGTAGCTGTGGTTACAGGTGCACACCACCACACGTGGCTAATTTTTGTATTTTTAGAAGAGACGGGGTTTCACCATGTTGGCCAGGCTGGTCTCAAACTCCTGACCTCATGATCTGCCTGCCTTGGCCTCCCTAAGTGCTGAGAATACAGGCATGAGCCACTGCGTCTGGCTGGTATCTATACCTTTTTACAATGTGTAAAATTATGTTGCTTTCTCCACTGGTTCGCTAGACCTAGCTACTTGCCTGAAACATATCAGATTTGTTGAATAAACATTCAAGTGTATGTATGTATGTATATATGTATATGTATGTATTAGTATATATATTTTATAAGTGGAAAAATGTAGATCTAGTTTTATACCTTGAATAATAGAAATGGCTAGAAAAACATAAAATCTCAGTAAGTAGCATGTAGAAAGAATTCATTATATTTAAAAATGCATACAATTATAATGCATATTTTTGTTACTGTAGTAGAAGTTTGTTATAAAATGTAGACTAGGAACCAAAATAATGCCAAAATAATTTTTCCATAGGCTAGCTACAAAAATAGATGATTGTGTATCATTTATATACGCGGAAAACATAATGAAAACCTCCTAGAAGAGGAAATTTGTAACTGTATTTTACTAAAGCACGATATTTTGTATTTTTAGGCCCTTTGACTCTAAAAAATTTATTGTGATATGACATTTTAAAAAGGTGTTTTTTTTCCCAAGGGTGTCAGTTTATTAGGCATATGTACCCAATGTGCAGTCATGACCAGAGGGAGGTAAAGAATAATATTTATGGAGAGTAGATATTCTTACGTTTTCCCTGAACAACAAATAAAGAATGAAGAAGATTTGCTTTTATATTTTTGTGGGTGAATGGGAGTCAAATTAAGATCTCATGATTGGAGAAGAGTGATGGGAGAGAAACCATCTCTGATAGCTTAGAGATTCATCTGGTGCTACAATACACACTCCACATGAAGGCAATCATCTCAGTAATATCCAGTTTATTTAAAAGAGTAAATTATTATTCACATTTGTCAACTTAAAAATTCAGTGTACAGAGAGCCTACGACTTACTCAAGTTTCTTTACAAACTTTGGATGCTATGTTGTGAGAGTTAGCGTACAATTTTGGTTGGTGTCTTTCCTGAATTTAGTATATTAAATGAAGACACCAAGAACTACATGAGAAACAATGTATGACTCTTAAAAAGAAACTGAGTTTAATTATATCAGAGAAAAATCTGTTTAAAATAAATTCCTTTATTTAAAAAAATCCATACGATAAGATAATTTTGATATATAACTGCAACCATATTGCTTTCAGGATGAGATCTTGTTGGCTGGAATGCATCAACTATTAGATAGTCCTTATATTCTGGGAAGATTCTTTGGCAGTTTTTGTCCCAACGGACTAGTTAGAGGGGCCTAAAGAGACAAGGTTTATTTAGGGTTTAACTGCTGAATATACAATCCAGTTTCTTTATAGGAAAACCACTGGAGTTAAAGAACTAATAGGATTTTAGGCTTGTTTATATATCTAAGAGAAGATGATAGCACCAAAATCCATAATCAACAAAGGGTAATTAAATTTCTACTTGTTTTTTTTTTTTATTTCAGCCTATGCTGTTTCCAAGGGTAACTGCTCTCTGTTTTAAAAACAAACATTGAGGCCAGTGCATTTTTAATTGCATGTAAAGTATTACTGTTAGTACAGTTAGTTATTTCTTTTTGTTCTATTTAATATTAGTTAAAATTCCAATATTTGTTAATTTTCAAGTGGGCATGTTCTTGGAGTCACTTTGCGAGTAATCAATAAGGAGATATGACAATCCATTCAGCCTTTCTTTTCTAGTTCCTCTTACACCCAGCAAAGGCTTGTCAGTACAAGAAGGTTTGGTTAGCGTACTCAGAATCGTAGGAAATTAAAACCAGAATGGCTAGCAGCTAGAGTTTGCGTAGCTGACGAATGTGTGAAACTTTTTATAGTTTTTATTGACTAGATTTTTTTTCACATTTCAAGTGAAAAAAAAAAAAGGCCCCACTCATCCCCCCTTGTTGCGATGAAACTACATTGGCCTATAATATCCATATATAGACTATAATATCTATATTGGCCTAGATGTTAATAAAACCTGAAAGATATTTTAAAATATTTGGTCTATTCACTGTATACCACAAAACTTAAGGGACATTTGACTCCATTATGTATGATATTTTGCTTATTATTTTTAAGGAGACTGCTGTAATGCTGAAAACCTCAAGCCATGTGTAACCCATGGGTGGCGTGGTTAGGAGTGCTGCCACTCTTCATCCTGTTAACTCAGGCAGCCCTCAAACCAGCAATGCCTCCGGTGATCGACAGCCAGCCTTTCAGCATTTTCTGGGCAGCCCCAACAATGTACTGTATGCCTTTCTTCAACGTGAATATGAATCTTCAAGTATTTAACATTATATCAAATCCTTTAGAGACTCAGAGTGGGTCAAAAATTGCCATAATTTATCCAAACGAATTAGGGTATTACCCTTACTTCTCTCAAGATGGAAAATCCTTTAATGGAGGAATACCGCAGAACGTGAGCCTTTCTGAACATCTTAGGAAAGCTGCTGATGACATCGGAGAAGCAGTCCCTTGGTGGAGATCAGAAGGACTTGTTGTTATTGACTGGGAAAGTTGGAAACCCCAATGGGATAGAAATCGGGGCAGCCGAATAATATATAACAACCACTCTTTAGCCTTCACTAGAAACCATCATCCTTATTGGTCAGAAATGAAAGTGGAAACAGTTGCCCGAGAGGAATTTGAAAATGCTGGAAAAAATTTCATGAACGTTACTCTCACATTGGCTTTAGAAATGAGACCAAAATGTTTATGGGGCTTTTATCTCTACCCAGACTGCTACAATTATGATTACAGAATAAATCCAGAGACGTACACAGGTAATTGTCCGAATGATGAAATTCTCCGCAATGACCAACTCCTGTGGCTGTGGGAGAAAAGCGCAGCGCTTTATCCTTCAATATATTTGGATAAAATACTGAAGTCAAGCTTAAATGCTTTGAAATTTGTTCACTATCGGGTGAGAGAAGCCATGAGGATTGCTGAAATGGCTAGACATGACTATGTTTTGCCGGTTTTTATTTTTTCCAGACCATTTTATTTGCATAGTACTGAAGCTCTATCACAGGTAAGGAAAGGCAGTCACTCACATTTTTTTTTAAATGGAAATTTTGTAGAATAACTATATAAAGCCTCCACATAAATGTTTTAGGATATTTATTTTCCCTTAGCAACACAATCTTATTCTCTTTTAAGCATGTATATTTCTTCAAATGTCAACTCAGCGCTGAAAAATGTCACTGACAATTAGATGTGCACTTAACACTTTTGGATAATGATTCTTACCAGCTTAGCATTCACAGGAGTTTCCTACAGAACAGATATTAAACTTGATTTAAATAATGTAACAGATAGAGTAATTTTAACCAGAGAGAAATTTTAGAACTAACTTATTTTTTATTTTGTGTTTGAGAAGGAGTCTCGCTCTGTCGCCCAGGCTGGAGTGCAGTGGCGCTATCTGAGCTCACTGCAAGCTCCGCCTCCCAGGTTCACGCCATTCTCCTGCCTCAGCCTTCGGAGTAGCTGGGACTTCAGGCAACCGCCACCATGCCCAGCTATTTTTTTTTTTTGTATTTTTAGTAGAAACAGGGTTTCACCATATTAGCCAGGATTGTCTCGATCTCCTGATCCCGTGATCTGCCCGCCTCAGCCTCCCAAAGTGCTGGGATTACAGGGGTGAGCCACCACAGCCGGCCTAGAACGAACTTCTTAATATGAAAAGGCAATTTTCCAAATCAAAAACGTACAACATAGAGCTCGGGGTAAATTATTAACCAGCTACATTTCTCATTATATTGCATTTGTATGTTTTAATTAGCTAGGCTAACTGAAAAAATTACATAGATTCTCTTGATTTTGTCTTTAAGAGTCTACAGTGCAATCGAGTGGTTATTGTCAAGGCATTAAAACTGGTTTATATAAGGAGACAGATACTGTCTTTAGACTGAACACAAAGCTGGAAGCCTACAGATGTGGGGATGAGCTTGTTTAGAAGATAGTAAGTTTGAAGACATGGCAAGTGTTCAAACTTGAACGAGATTGTCACATAGGACATTATCGTAAGGATTCAATCATTGGATGGGTGGCTAGATAAGAAAACCTTCAAATCTCCATCCACACCTGACAGCCAACAATTCTTTATGGCAGTACCCAACACAGAAGCAAAGCTGTTGTATAGACAATACACAGCTTTCGTAGACCACTTAGGTTTGAGATAAGGCCATTTAAAACCATTGAAAAGCAGTAGCAATTCTTCCTAAATATTTCAGAATAAAATCCAAATATTATTAATTAGACTTGACATTGCAGGATTACTCAGTATCATTCAATAAATTTAGAAGGAAAAGAATCATAGCATTATGACAAAAATTTGGAAGAATCTCATGGGCACTTAACCCATCTCCTACCTAAATAAAAACCCTTTCTCATCCTGCCTCTACTTTAACACTTTTTGATGGGGGCGCTTCTTACATTAGAAGGAAAACTGCCGTCTGGGGGAAATATTAATTCCTAGAAAGTTTTTGAGTATATTTAATCTACTTTGCCTCCAATAACTTCATACCACTAGTTCTAACTCTACCTTCTGGTGCAACATAGAATACATCAAATCCTTCTTTCAAAAGCCAGTTGTCCAGGTATTTTAGGATATCAGTCATGCCTACCAAAGTCTTCTTGCTAAGATATTCCTCAAGTGATGCCAGCTTTCTCAAATCATTTTACGTTCTTAAATCCTTTTCAGAAAAAAACCTGAGTTATATTTATTCATTCAGAAATTCTTGAGTGCCTACATTGTGTCAGGAATTACATGTTATTAGTAATAACAGTAGAAAATAATAATAATTCATGCAGTCAAAGAGTTCACCTTGAGAGAAAACGGGAGAATGAGATGAGACACATTTTCATAAAAGCTTTTCATTGCTTTCCTATTTTTTGTGCTTTTAGGTTTTTTAATCTTTTTTATTTTTAATTTTTGTGGGTACATTAGACTTTTAAAGTAAATTATAGGTTAAGTATCACCTCTGAGCTCTACTTTAGACATCAATAGACTGCATTCTTCACTCACCAAAATATATAGAATCACCTGAGCATTATACTGAATTGTTTTAATGCTTTCCTATTGCCTTCCATGTATCACATATCAAAAAACAGTATGGGTTTTTCTCACCTTTTGTCTAAGTAACATAACTTTCCAATGCATGTTTTAAAAACCAGTTCTGGTTGGTATTTGCCTTCAGGAGTGTCTCAATTAAAATAAGTGACTACATTTAGGTTTAAGGAATGTGATACTAGTCAGTATAACGGAAGAAAGATTTCATTTCTTATTGTATTACTTAGACAAATTGCAGAACATAAATACCAGTATTGCTGAAACCTTCCTACCACGCAAGAAAGCTTACAGTGGTGTGACAATTGACTCATTGCAGTCTGTGAGCACTCCACCTTTGCACTGGATCTCTGACTCTCCATACCTTGTAGGGGAGAAAAGAATGCAGATTGCTCCATCTGTCATCCCCTTTATCTCCCATCTCTCCCTATTTCCTACTTCTTTGCTCTTGGCCTATATTCATTAGCATAACATCCTCAGTTTCTTATCTTGGTGAACTGTAATCTACATAGTCACCCAATTTGAAAGTCACTTGGCTGCCTCCCTTCTCCTCTTTCCATTATCCAATAGGTAACTAAAACTTACCCATCTTTATTTCCAAATAACTCTTCAATCTGTTCCCTCTGCTTTACAAGGACTGACACTACCTTTGTTGAGGCATCATCATTTCTCACCGAACTATTTCTATCACCTCCTAATTGGTGTTCCTGCCTGTACTATCTTGACCTTCCCCTCCAATGCATTCCTTTCTTTTTTTTGAGATGGAGTCTCGCTCTGTCACTCAGGCTGGAGTGCAATGGTGCGATCTCAGCTCACTGCAAGCTCCGCCTCCCTGGTTCCAGTGATTCTCCTGCCTCAGCCTCCCAAGTAGCTGGGATTACAGGCGTGTGCCACCACGCTGGCTAATTTTTGTATTTTTAGTAGAGATGGGGTTTCACGATGTTGATCAGGCTGGTCTCGAACTCCTGACCTCAGGTGATCCACCCATCTCAGCCTCCCAAAGTGTTGGGATTACCCACCATGCCGGGCCTCCAATGCATTCTTTATATGCAAAAAGAAAAAAGAATCAAAGTTGCAAGTTTGTGTCTTTTCAGCACTAAATTTTTGCATTTATTTAGTTATTTGAGATGGAGTCTCACTCTGTCACCCAGGCTGGAGTTCAGTGGCAGGATCTTGGCTCACTGCAGCCTCTGCCTCCTGAATTCAGGAGACTCTCCTGCCTCAGCCTTCCAAGTAGCTGGGATTACAGGCAAGCACCACCATGACTGGCTATTTTTGTATTTTTAGTAAAGGTAGGGTTTCACCGTGTTGCCCAGCCTGGTCTCGAACTACTCACCTCAAGTGATCTGTCTGCCTTGGGCTTCCAAAGTGCTGAGATTACAGGCGTGAGCCACTGCGCCTGGCCAGTTGTCTTAACACTTTAAAACAGCATTTTTATGTTTGTATTTGGATTCTGTTTATACATAGAAATTCATATGTTCTTACTTACCAAATTCTGTATGCTTTACCACAAGGAAGTGCTGGGAGTTCTCCGGATGGACGGTGATTTTGCCTGGATCTGAGTCTCTGCTCTTATTCTCCCTTGTGGATATAAAACTCTGCTCTCTCTAGACTGTCTTGTGAATTCATACTCATTCTCAAGAGTCTACTGATTCTCATTCCCAAGAGTCATCTGAAATTTAACCTGTTCAAGGAAGCCTTCCCAGACTCTTCCATGAAGTATTAGGCACTTCTAATTTATATGTGCCTTGTGAGTACTACTAATATGAAAATTATCTTATTATATTGTAGTCACTTGTTTATATGTCTGTCTCAACCATTACACTAAAAAGCATTCCTTCAAGAACAGGAATTGAAATCTATTTCACTTTTATATTCTCAGTGTTTAGAATATTGCCTGGAACATTGCAAATATTTCTCAAGTAAATGTAAGAATCCAAGGCAGTATCACCTTTTCCAATTCTTCTATAGTCTTTTGTTTTATTTTTTTGTATGATAGCTTTATTTAAAAGACATGCTTTTTTTCTGTGTATTAAAATTTATATTTTAATCAACATATACAATTGTAGTATGTATTTATCATATACAATATGTTTTGAGGTACATAGACATTGTAGAAAGGTTAAATCTAGCTAATTAACAAATTCATGACCTCACAGTTATTTTTAAGAACACTTAATATCCACTCTCTTAGCACTTTTCAAGACTACAATATATTGTCATTACCTATAGACACCATGCTATACAATAGATCTCTTGAAATTATTCCTCCTATCTAATTGTAATTATATGTTATTTAACCAACATCTCCTCAATCCCCTCTCCCTCCTAACCACCTCAGCCTCGGGTAATCACCATTCTACTCCCTACTTCCGTGAGATCAACTTTTTCAGATTCTATCTGAGATCATGCAGTATTTACCCTGTGGTATAGTCCTTTGTTTTAGAAACAAAGATATCGTTATTAATGTGTTCCTTTCCACAGTTGAGGGGTTTAGTCTTATTATTGCATTATCAGTGACAAAATTTGACTTGGTGGAAACTACTCCTGATACCTCTCTTTTCCAGGAGGACTTAGTGCATACAATTGGCGAAAGTGCTGCATTGGGGGCAGCGGGAGTAATATTGTGGGGAGGATATGAATATTCTGCTTCAAAGGTAAGCAAGGATTTCTCTGTCAGCAACTTGAATACACTTTTGAGATTGGTTAAAAAAAAAATTTTTTTTTGCATCAGAGTCAAATGGTTGCTGATTATCTGCTTACATGACCTTAGTGAAATTCAAAAAGTACAGGCTCTAACATTGAGCATCTACTCCATACCAGCCATTGTGGTTAGTAGAAGGGTAGAAAGAGCGCAATCATTCTAATCAGGCAGCTAAGTGAGAAACTGATGTTTATGTCCTAGGGGTGTAATTTTGAGCATGTTAATTAACATTTCTGAGTCTCAGCTTCTCCAACTAAAAAACTGGACTAAAATAAAACCTCCTCTGCAGGATTTTGGTAGATTACATGGCATAATATATATGTGACAAACAAAAAATAATAAATTTTAAAAATGAAAAATTATTTCATTTGCACTAAGGAGGGCAGATGCTCCAAAAATGATAAATAATTTTTTCTTTCTTTTTCTTTTTTTTTTTTTTGGTGAGACAGTCTCACTCTGTCACCCAGACTGGAGTGCAGTCGCGCAATTTCGGCTCACTGCAACCCCTGCCTCCCAGGTACAAGGGATTCTCGTGACTCAGCCTCTTGACTAGCTGGGACTACAGGCATGTGCCACCATGCCTGGCTTATTTTTTGTATTTTTAGTAGAGTCTTGGTTTTGTTATGTTGGCCAGGCTGGTCTCAAACTCCTGGCCTCAAGCTATCAGCCCACCTCGGCCTCCTAAAGTCTTGGGATTACAGGCGTGAGCCACCGTACCCGGCCCCAAAATGATTATTTACTTTGCTGATTACCTGTTATAGAAATGCATGTGGGAGAAAAATCTATTTGTATATAAAGATTTATTAACAATCTACTCTGTTCTGGCTGGGCGCGTTGGCACACGCCTGTAATCCCAGCACTTTGGGAGGCGCAGGCGGGTGGATCACCTGAGGTCGGGAGTTTGCGACTAGCCTGACCAACATGGACAAACTCCGTCTCTACTAAATATACAAAATTAGCTGGGTATAGTGGCGCATGCCTGTAATCCCAGCTACTCAAGAGGCTGAGGCAGGAGAATCACTTGAACCCGGGAGGCAGAGGTTGCCCTGAGCCGAGATCACGCCATTGCGCTCTCAGTTTGGGCAACAAGAGTGAAACTCCATCTCAAAAAAAAAAAAAAAATTAACAATCTATTCTGTTCTTTTGTTATAAGAATACTTAATATGAAATCTACCCTCTTAAATTTTGGATTGCTTAATACATTATTAACTATAGACACTATGTTGTACAGGAGATCTCTCGAACTTATTTATCTAGCAGAACTGAACTAGCATATCTCTAACTTATTTATCTAGCATAACTGAAAAGTTGCAACCTTTAAATAACAACTTCCCATTTCTCCCACCCTCAGCCCCTTACAACTATTACTGTATTCTCTGCTTCTACGAGTTTACTATTTTAGATACCTCCTAAGTACAATCATGTAGCATTTGTCCTTCTGTGACTGCCTTAGTTCACATAGAGTAATGCCCCCCCAGGTTCATCTGGTTGTTATAAAGGACATTATTTCCTTCTTTTTAAAAGGCTGACTACTATTTCAGTGTATGTATATAGTGAATTATCTTTATTCATTTATCTGTCAACAGGCACTTGGATTGTTTCCATTTCTTGGCTATTGTGAATAGTGCTGCAATATACATGGGAATGCAGACATCTCTTTGAGATTGCAATTTCACTTCTTTTATATATCCAGAAGTGTATATGCATATATACTGAATCACATAGTAGTTATAGTTAGAATTTTTTGAGGAATTTCCATACTGTTTTCCATAGCTGTTGTACCATTTAACATTCCCATCAACAGGATTTGGGGGTTCCCACTTCTCTACAACTTCAACACTTGCTATCTTTTATTTTTTAAATTATACCCATCCTAACAGGTGTGAGGTGACAGCTCATTGTTTTGATTTATATTTCCCCGATAATTAATGATTTTGAGCATCTTTTCATATACCTGTTAGCTCTTTGTATGTCTTCTTTGGAGAAATGTTTGTTCAGGTCCTTTGCTTAATTTTTGATTGGGTTATTTGGATTTTTTGCTGAGTCATAGAAGTTCCTTATATATTTTGGATATTGACCTCTATCAGATATATGGTTTGGAAATATTTCTACTATTCTATAGGTTATCTCTTCACACTGCTGTTTCTTTTGCTGTGCAAAAGCTTTTCAGTTTGATGCATCCCATTTGTCCATGTTTGTTTTTGTTGCCTGTCCTTTTGGTGTCATGTCTAAGAAATAATTGCCAAGACCAGTGTCAAGAAGCGTTCCCCGTGTGTTTTCTTTTAGGCATTTTAGAGTATTCGGTCTAATGTTAAGTAAGTCTTTAGTCCAGTTTGAATTGACTTTTGTGTGTGGTGTAAGATAGGGATCCAATTTCGTTTCTGGGCATACGGATATCTAGTTTTCCCAGCTCCATCTGTTGAAGAGACTATCTTTTCTCTGTTGTGTTCTTGGCACTCTTGTCAAACATCAGTTGATCATATATGTGTGGGTTTACTTCTGGCCTCTCTATTCTGTTCCTGTGACTTGTATATCTTCCTTTATACCAGTAACATAGTGTTTTATTTATTGTAGAATTGTAATGTATTTTTAAATGAGGAAATGTGAAGCCTCCAGTTTTGTTCTTTCTGAAGGTTACTTTGGCTCTTCTGGGCCTTTTGTGGTTCCATATAAAGTTTAGTTTTTTGTTTTCTATTTCTGTAAAAATTGCCATTGGGATTTTGATGGGGATAGCATCGAACTTGCAGATCACTTTGGGCAGTGTGGACATTTTAACAACATTAAGTTTTTCTGTCCATAAACATAAGTTATCTTTTATTTATGTCTCCTTTAACGCCTTTTATCAATATTATGTAGTTTTCGATGTACAAGTTTTTCACTTTTTTGGTTAAGTTTATTCCTAAGGATTTTATTATTTTTAATGGTATTGTAAATGGAATTGTTTTCTTAGTTTCCTTTTCAGATGGCTCACTATTAATGAATAGAAATTCAATTAATTTGTATATGTTGATTTTGTATACTGCAACCTTACTGAATTTCTTTATTACTTATGACATTTTTTTGTAGTTTTTAGGATTTTCTATATATAGAATTATATCATCTGCAACAAGGATAGTTTTAAATTCAGATTCATTTTTATTTCTTGCTTAATTGCTCTAGCTGGGACTTCTAGTACTATGTTGAATAGAAGTGGTCAGAGTTGGCTGGATGAGATGGCTCATACCTATAATCCCAGTACTTTGGGAAGCTGAGGCAGGAAGGTTGCTTGAGGCCATGAGTTCAAACCCAGCCTGGGCAACATAATGAGACACCATCTCTACAAATAGTAAAAAAGAAAAAACTAGCCAGGTGTGTTGGTGTGTGCTTGTAGTCCTAGCTTCTCAGGAGGCTACAGCAGGAGAATGACTTGAACCTAGGATTTCAAAGCTGTAATGGACTATGATTGTGCTACTGCACTTCAGCCTGGGTGACAGACTCCATCTCTTAAAGGAAAATAATTAAACTAAAATGAATAAAAGAGAAATGATTAGAGTGAGTATCCTTGTGTTATTTCTGATCTTAGAGAAAAAGCTTCAACTTTTCATCATTGACTATGATGTTAGCTATGGGCTGGTCATATATGGCCTTTATATGTTGTGATACATTCTTTCTATACCTATTGTTGTAAGAGTTTTTACTGTGAAGGGGTGTTAAATTTTTAAAAAATGCTTTTTCTGCATCTAGTAAGATGGTCATATGATTTTTATTTTTCTTACTGTTTATGTAGCATATCACATTTTTATAAATTATATGTAAAGTTCCTGTCTTTTTTTAACCACATTACATATAAATGGTTTAACAGGTTTCTCCTAATTGAAGCATGTATTTGGGATGGTCTGATTAAATCCAAGCTGTCACATAGACAAAATTCTCTTTTAGATTCCTGATGTGAATCTTTAAATACAGATCATCTTTCCTTAGAGCAGCTGAAATAGTCATGGAATCACATCCAAAAGGCTGACAAATCCAACTCTAGAAGCAATAATTAAGGTTGATATAATCAAAACTTTCATAGTAAAATAGAAGAGGAGGTAGTGAGATGGAGAGACAATGGGTTATAAAGAATCTGGCTTTTCCCAAAGAGAGATCTGGCCTTTGTCCTTGGTTTCTGGGTGGTAATCTGGGAGTATCTTTGTTTAGGGTGGATATAATCACACCTAATAGTTTTATGATGAGGGCTGACCATGCCTCAAGAACCAACCATTTCACAAAGGGTGAAACAATGGGTAGATGCTTCAAGCTATGCATTATCAATGAATTGGAGACTGAGTTCAACCACTTAATCAATCAATCAATCATGACTCTTCTTTTTTTGATTAGTTAGGCTTGTCAGATATAAGTGTTTGATGGTTTTCTTTTTTTGAAGACCCACTCTTTATCAATTCAATTTTCTAATTCAAAAATTTATACTTTTATCTTTATTATTTCTTTTCATGAGATTGCTTTCTAAAAAATTATTTTTCTAAGTTCTTGAATTGAATGCTTGTTTAATTTATTATTTTATTCCTCTATGTTAAATAATCAAAGCTGTTGCAATAAAAAGTATTACTTTTGAATCTAGTATTAGCATGCTTTAAAATGTTAGGACATTTCTTTCAGATCCAAAGACAGAGTAGAGGATAAACTTCCACAAAAAGGTGCACATTTCTTTGGATAAAGATTTAAAATTAGAAGCTAATTTCAGAAATTTAGTGAACGCTCCAGATACACCGAAAGTCAAGAAAGTTTGCCATAATAGGTAGAATATCACTTGCTGGGTTCTAGGAAATTGGTGACCAGCTTCTGATAATAGACAGAGATAGGAAATGCACTGATTCAATGAAGCAGGTAGCCACTAAGGTGGAGCTTCTAAAAGTGGAAAAGTGACTGAGAAGATGCAGAAAGTTGAGGGAATAGGAAGCATAGAAAAAAGCTTAAGTGGAAAGCGTGCCACTCAGCACCCCATCAGCTACTAGTGCACACTGCTGTATAGCTGAATGGGAGTCCAGGTGAAAGCCAATGCCAAAATGCCTTGTTTCTGGTTTGATAATTGGATCACCCAGTAAACAAAAGCACTTATGACTAGGCATTGACATTGAAAATTACTTTGGATGTATTAACATATTTTAACATGTAGTATTCCAGTTGTTTTTATTTTTCTAATTAATTTGAAATTGTAATTTAAAAGATTTCCTTTTGGACCAAATTGCTACTTGGGAGGGTATTTTTAATCTGTAAAAAACTAGGATTTTTGTGTCTACTTCTTTTATTGTTGATTCCTATTTTACTTAATTATAGAGAGAAACATATGTATGCTTACTGTATTTAGAACAGATTGTGTGAGACTAGTTGGGAGGCAATCATCCAGGCGAGAGCTATTAGTGACCTGAAACAGAATGGTAGCAAGGGTTGAATTCAGGATATATTTTGAAGGTAGACTGAAAAGGACTTGCTGATGGATTAACTGTAAGCGGGAAAAGGAGTGACGAATAACTCCAAGGTTTTGCTCCTGAGGCACTGGAAAGAGGAAGTTGGCTTATGCTGAGATGGGGAACTCTGGGAAGAGGGTCAGTAGATTATGTTGGAGTACGTTAAGTTTGAAATGCTTGTAAGACATCCAGGCAGAGATGTCAAGTAAGTAGGTGGGTACACAATCAATTCAGGGATAAGGTCTGGGTGATACATATTTGGGGATTGTATTTAAAGTAATGAGATGGGATGAGTTTATTCAGTGAAATAGTACAGCTATAGAAGAGAAGAGGTCTAAGATTTAAGCCAGGGGCACTCCAGTGTTAAATGTAGGAAAGATGAACAGGAGCCAGTAAAGAAGACTGAGAAGGAACATCTAGTGAGGTTGGGGACAAAACAGGGATGTGATCTTCTGGAAGCTAAGTGAAGAAGGTATTGCAAGGAGGACGGCTGTGACAGAACAGGGAATGCCTAAGTTGAAGTTGATTATATTTGCCAGTGTTCTATGTTGTCTTCGTTTGACTCCTCCTGACCTCTGTCTTTCTTGGTTGCTTTTTCGTCCTTCCTCTTTTTTCCTTCCCAGCCGCCCTTTTCTCTTCTTTCCTTTGCTTCAATTGTTTGATGTTTTATTTTACTGTGTCTTTCTTAGAAACCTCCTCAGATGCCTCAGACAAGGAGTCTTGTCCTGACTAAAAACAGCGTGTGTTTCTAAATATAGTATGAGACTGCCGCAGATTGAATGTGTCTGTAACAAATAATATTGCTTACATGATCTTCAGAATTTACTATTGCCAAAGTGCTGGCCTTGTTCAACTACCTGTCAATTAAGAGCTTTATTCTGCCTTATGACTTTCAATTTGAATCTCCCAAATCTTTACCAGATGGAGTCACAGTTCTGGGGCCTCCTCTCACTGAGAAAATATCCCACTGTTCTAAGCTTAATTGGTTTTAAATTATGCATGAGTTTAAATATTGATAAAATAAATAATTAAATGCTAATAGAAAACTCAATTTATGTTACTAATTAATTTACTAGAATTTTTCCATGGTTCTACCTGTGTGGATCAAGGCAGACATTTATCAAGATTCCAGCCAGGCTCTTCTGGGTTAGCTGATAACATCATTTCAATTAGGTTTGCCCATCCTAACTGCACAATATGATCATTAATGTACAGAAATGTGTCCTAAAGTTAAAGCCCAATTCTGTGGACACATCAATGAAATACCCAATGGTAGACTTGTGGGAAGACATTCTTACCTACTATCATTGGACCCTATATACAATGTACAAGTAACACTAGCATTTCGTGTAAATAATGATCTTTTATATTCTACATCCTAAAAACTGACTGATGGACAAGTAAAGTATGTTATATTTATATTATGAAATACTGAACAGCAATTAAAATGAAATAATGCTACATGCATCAACATAAAAAATGGAAAATGTTAAGTTCAAAAAGCGAGTTGCAAAAATATCCTACATGATATATGTATGTAAATGATTAAAAAGCACAAAATAATACCCCCTCTTGTTCATAATTACACACACACACACACACACACACACACACACACACACACACACCCCTAGTAAAGTTATAAAAATGTGGATGAGAACTCATCAACTTTAGGAGAATTATCTCATTAGAGGTAGAGAGAAGAATAGGATGACTTGGTAGTTTTTGAAAAATCTGACCTAATGTTAAAATATATTGAGTATCAGCATTGAAAATGTTTCACAAGTGAAGTTAAATTTTAACAAACCATCCCCATATTAATGATATCTTTTAAAAGTATTACTACAAATATATCTTTACATTAAGGACCAGTCTCTACTGGGACACTGTGAGATCATCTTCACCTGGAAATGATATGAATTTGGTTGGTTCATAGTCTTCCCAATTGAAGGCATGGCTCATGCTCACATGACCCTACAAAGGCTTAGTCCCTCCTTTAAATAGCTAATCCACAGAAATGCTCTTCCTCCTCAGCCTTACCAAATGCAAAACTTCAGGCATTAATACTGCCTGGATAATGGAAGCACACTTTGAGAGTGCTTTAAGTAGATTTCTGTTTTTCCTATAGGAGAGCTGCTTATCTATGCAACAATCTATCCGAGGGCCTTTGGGCCGTTATGCTGTGAATGTGACATCAGCAGCCAAGCTCTGCAGTCAGAGTCTATGTAACAATCATGGAAGATGTATTCGAAAAACACCTGAGTCCTCCTTCTATCTGCATATGCCTGAAAGCAGTGGTAAGAAATATGTTCTAAACAAGAGTTTCAGATTCATCATTTCTGAACACAATAAACAGAAGACAATAACAGCCATGAAGAATGGATTTGTGTGTCACTGCTATTACGGCTGGCATGGACCATCTTGTCAGGATCACTCTTCAGATCTCCTAAGAGAGATGAATAAGGCTCCTACTGTTAACTTCAATTTATTAGTTTTTCTCAGTATGGCTTTTCCTGTGATCCTGCTAAAAATTTTTTTTAGCCCTTACTACAATGCCAATTTTTCCTTGAAATACTAAACAGTAGCAAGTGTTGATTTTTTTCAACCTCAAACCTCTCCCAAAATATGTATTGACTTTAAAGTAAAAAATAAAAATAAAAAAGGTAGTCATTGATGCCATTCATTGAAATAGCAATTATTTACTGGGTGTTTACCTCATGCAAGGCAATAGGGAAAATAAATTGAATATACCTGCTCTCAGGGAGCTTAAATACTTGTGGGAAAATGAACAATGATAAATAAGCAATAACCAAGTCTGGACACCATAGCAATATCCCATCTCTACAAAAAATGTAAAAAATAGCTGAGTGTGGTGGTGTAGACTGTAGTCCCAGCTACTTTGCAGGCTGAGGTGGGAGGATCATTGAGCCCAGGAGTTCAAAGCTGTGGGGAGCTACGATTGTGTGACTGCACTCTAGTCTGAGTGACAAAGTGAGACCCTGTCTCAAAAAAAAATTTTTTTAACCCAATACACTAACAAACACACATATATTTGGTGGTTGCAAGTGCTCTGGAGAATAATAATGAGGGGTAAAAGGATTAGGGAGTTTGAGGGAACACTGGAAATATAAGAGAGTCAAAGCCTCTCTGATGGGATGTCTTGAAGGCAGGAGCAGTCACAAATATATCCTAGGAAATACATTCTTGGAATAGGGAATAGCAGATGCAAAAGCAAATCGCTGTTTGCACTCCAGTAATTGGGGATCCCTAAATATTATAAGTGATCACAGGATGCTAAGTTATATGGGTGAAAGCGAACCTATATGAATGCTGTGGGGGGTTCAACTTTACCCAAGTATCACCAGCACCCTTGGAAATTCATTTAGCAATCATCAATATCAGAAGATAAATTGTATTAGACTCCCATAAAATAGAATTTATATGAGAAATCCTTTTATGTGATACTTGTTGGTCTGTATCTAAGTACTGTATCTAAGTAATTCATCAGTTTTCAATGCATGTAGTTCACGTGGTCACTTAACTGATCTGGTTGTAATCCAGATCATCTTCTATCATAAAGACTCAAAAGATACTATAATGTCCTCAATGCTATTTCTCCCCTTGGTTTAGGGAAGATATTTCCCAGTCTGAGGCCTTCCAAATATTGCACATCCACATATATTTCATACTGGCATACATATAGAGCTTTGATAGGCAGATCACACTTGAACTCCTATTTTGATTCATTTGCTGGTACATTCATTCATTATTCATTCATTTTTTGGGGAGAAGTAAAAGTTTAAGGGGCAGTGAAATATAGTAAACTCAATTGTGGGCTATTTGATAACTTTTCCTATTTTATTGGTGTCCTGCTCCAGTAAGGCTGTACTTTGAGTAATTAGATTCTTGTGCCTAGGCATGACATAATTTTTACAATGAGTAAAGTTGGTATTGAGACTTTATAAGAGAAAAAAAAAAATAGCTGCTTTTATCCTTACAGTGATGATAAGTTCTTCAACAATTATTATGTCAGGGTTTTGATATTCAATGAACTCGAATAAGGCAGGCAATATTAATAATATTATTAACATCTTGAAGATGAAGAAAATAAGAAAAGAATGAGAGGCATAGCCAATTTTGTCCAACAGTCAATGAATACCTCAAAGACAGGATACATATCAGGCCACTGTTTAACTTTACAGTGCCTTCAAAATAATCAGGGCATAAGAAGATTCAAGGTAGATGAAAGAAAAAGAGACAATACACATAAATACATAGAAAAAATTAGGAAACACTGCAATCCTATTACCCATAGATAATCATTTAACTTTTTCTAAATAAGAAAAGATTATTGAATTTTATTTTACTGAATTTTAATAGCAAGTGAAAGAAACTAAAACCAAAGAAACTGCCACACTTATTGCAATGGAGTCTTCAAAATTTGTAAAAAAAAAAAAAAAAAATCTTCTCAAGTTAAAAACGGATCATGAAAAGCATTCAGGTTTTGTTGTAGCTTATTTTAACTTGAATAATTTTGGACTTCCAGACTATAATACTTTGTCAGTGGTCTCATAAAAATGAGTGTCATCAATTATGTCTTATGCTAAGACAAATTTTTTTTTCTAAAATAAAAAAAATTAAAATTTAAACTCTTCCTATGCCTATGATAATTTTTCAAGAGAAATTAGTAAAAGGTACACCTGTAAGCAAAATATCATCTTATAAATACCACAACTCACTTTAACAAATAAAACCTATCTTCTAAGATGATAGGTAATGTCTATCACAAACACAAAGAGGGCTTATTTCTGTCCCAAATTACCTGAAAAATGACACTTTTGTCTGCTCTTTAGGGCAGTATTGTTTCTTATCTCCTATTACTGTTAAAAAAATAAAAACAAAAAACACAGCACTCTTTATCTGGACGTAAACTTTTTCATGGGACACTTGTTTTTCCCAGTCTCTTACTGTTCCATGTGACCCACAATTTTTTGAATCGGAAGGAACTTATGTCTTCATTTCACAAGCAGTATGTTATAATCAGTCTTTCTGGTCTTTAGTAGATTCATGTCATGGCTATTTTTATATTGGAGACATTCTTTACAAAGTCTTTTGACTTTATCTTCTAATTTAGACTCTCATCTTTGTCTCAAGATAGTTTGCTTTCAATTTTTTTTTTTCAAATAGTTAGCTAATTTTCACTGTTCAGTTATAAAATGACTATTAGATAGATCTTGGATTTTTTACATCTGAACCCTGTGTTGCTTTCCTCTCACATTTCTAAGTCTTTGTCTTTTTTGCCTTGTAGTATGGATTTGCTCACCTCTTTTTCTAGAATACTAGTTTCTTCTGCACTTGCAATGGTTTCGCTATGATTTATTAGTCCCCACCAAAACTCACGTTGAAATTTGATCCCAAATGTGGTGGTATTGGGAGGTGACACCTAATGGGAGGTGTTTGGATCATGGAAATGGATCCCTCATAAATGGCTTAGTGGCATTGTTGTGGTACTGAGTTCTTGCTCTGGCAAGACTGGATTAGTTCTCATGGGAGTGAATGAGTTCCCTTGACTATGGGTTGTTTTAAAGCCAGGCTACCCCTTGAGTTTTGCCTCTTCATACATGTCTCCTTCCCCTTTGACCTTCTCTGCCATGTTATAATGCAGCATGAAAGCCCTCACCAGAAGCCAGGGCCATGATCTTGAGCTTCCCAGCCTGTATCTTTTCTTTATAAATTACCCAGCCTCGGGTATTTGACTATAGCAATGCTAAATGAACTGAGACACCACCATATTTTGATATTTGTTTTAATTTCAAAGAACCCTTTTTCTGTGTGTGTAATATGATTGCTCCTTTGTTATAGTACTCTTATTTTGGTTTCGTTCAACAGCTTCTTAAATCTCTCTGAGGCTGTTAATTAGATTTTTGAAAATTGTTTCTATTGTTACACATTTTATTCTATTCCATTTCCTTTGAGAATAGAATGTTCCCTTTGTTAATTTCCTTTATACTTTTGGTCTGTATCAAATGTTTTGTGATCTTGTGATCTTTGGTCATCCATTTATATTTATAAAGGACCAGAGTAATTGAAAAATCTGTCATAGGGATTTTTGCACCCCCCACCACCCATGCATTTGTTGGGCATATTTACTCAACAGATTATTTCATTGAATGAAAGGATGGACAGTAGATTCTGAAAGTGGTTGGGACATACTGACAAGTAAGAGTGCATCTGTAGCAGATGAGTAGAAACCAGGCAGGTTAGTAGAAACCCCCATAATTATTATCAAAATAAGTAGAAAATTATCATGGAAAAGGAGTGTAATTCTTTCCTGGGTTGAGCAGCCTATCCTTTTTTTTTTTCCCTTCCATGCCCACTGGAAAGATCTAGATATATTCATTTTAGGTCTGCTTTTATATTTGGTTCAACATACAAATTCTGAACCTGTGTAGGAAGAGCTTTCTCTTAAATGTCTTGGGGTCAAATGTCTCTACTGCTTGCAGTACATGCTCTGGTAAGTTAAATGGTCGAACTGGTTCTGCCATGTTGAAATAAATATTTTCCTTGATCTGATAATTTGGCCTCCACCCATTTCCATTTTTTGAATATTAGAGCTTCTCTTTCTAATGGAGGGAGCAGCTCATAGAGCTAAAGTAACTTTCTCTTTCTTAATTTTTTTTTAAAATTTCCATAGGTTTTTGAGGAACAGGTGGTATTTGGTTACATGAGTTAAGTTCTTTAGTGGTGACTTGTGAGATTTTGGTGCTCCCATCACCCGAGCTGTAATCACTGAACCCAATTTGTATTCTTTTTTTTTTTTTTTTTTGAGACGGAGTCTCGCTCTGCCTCTCAGGCTGGAGTGCAGTGGCGCCATCTAGGCTCACTGCAAGCTCACCTCCTGGGATCACATCATTCTCTTGCCTCAGCCTCGCCAGTAACTGGGACTACGGGTGCCCGCCACCATGCCCAGTTAATTTTTTTGTATTTTTAGTAGAGATGGGATTTCATCGTGTTAGCCAGGATGGTCTCAATCTACTGACCTGGTGATCTGCCCTGCCTCGTCCTCCCAAAGTGCTGGGATTACAGGTGTGAGCCACCATGCCAAGCCTATTGTGTCATTCTTATAACTTTGCATACTCATAGCTCAGTTCCCACTTATGAATGAGAACATACATGTTTGTCTTTCCATTCCTGAGTTATTTCACTTAGAATAATAGTCTCTAATCCCATCCAGGTTGTTGCGAATGCCATTAGTTCTTTCCTTTTCAAGGCTGAGTATTCTGTCATATATAAATACCACAATTTCTTTATCTACTTGTTGGTTGATGGGCTTTTGGGTTGGTTCCACATATTTGCAACTGTGAATTGTGCTCCCCTAAATATATACGTGCAATGACTTCTTTTCCTCTGGGTAGATCCCCAGTGTTGGGGTTGCTAGATCAAATGGTAGTTCTACTTTTGTTCTTTAAGGAATCTCCACACTGCTTTCCATAGTGGTTGTACTAGGTTACCACCAGCAGTATAGAAGTGTTCCCTTTCACTACATCCACATGGACCTCCATTATTTTTTGATTTTGGCCATTCTTGCAGGAGTAAGGTGGTATCACATAGTGGTTTTGATTTGCATTTCCCTCATCGTTAGTGATATTGAACATTTTTTCATATG